GGGAGGGGGAGGTGGGGGTGCAGACCCCTGAGGGACGGACGGGTCTCCCGGTGGGGGGGCGGAGGGACCCCTGATGGGGGAGGAGGAGGAGGAAGGGTGCCTGGGGGGCAGCGCTGACCCCCCAAGGAGGAGGAAAAAGGGATCTGGGAGGCAGCAGCCAGCTGGTGGGCGAGGACCGACCCCTGTGGAGAAGGCAGCCCTTCCAGGGTGCCTGCGGGCCGAGGGGAGCCACCCTAGCGAGGGGACAGAGGACAGACCGGGAGGCAGGGCTGGGCTGGGGTGGTCTTGGAAGTCAGCTGGAAGGGTACCGGGGGAATCAGCGCGCGGGTGGGAGGAGCAAACTTGAGGTCCTGAGGCCCAGTGGGAGTGGGCACCTGGGGTTTGCGGGGAAGGGGGCTGAGCCCTTGAAACCAGCGGAGGTGTTTAGGTGTGAGAGCCGGGGCAGGTGGGGACCCAGGAGTTTGGGGGGATAGGAGCCCAGAGGAGAGATGGCAGCGGGTAGGGGGCAGGAGGGTTCTACTGGGGGCGACTTTCGGGGTACAAACACACCACAGCCTGTTCTCCAGGGCCTCTCACTGCTGCAGCTCTGCTGCCCCCTGCCTGTCACCAGAGTCACACAGCCAGGGCTTGCAGCTCCAGGGAAAGGACCCTGACCTGTCATTTTCGTGTACCCCCCTGTTTCCAACTGGCAGCCTGGTAGAACCTCTTGGGCCAGTTTCGCAGCCTCTTTGGAGCCCGCCATCCACGTTAACTGCCCTTGGGCACCTCAGAGACAATTGTTCCCTGAGCCTGGGGCCTCTGCCACATGTTCACGAGTGTCCGAGCTGCTGGGAGCTGCCAGCCCGTGTTCTGGTCCCGTACAGTGGAATGTGGGTCCTGGGTCAGCTTCTGTGCGGCCGTGGGCTCCCTCTTATGGAGTTACAAGGAGAGGCCAGTCAGGGCCTGCAAACAGGCCTGGGAGTCAGCATGCCCCGATGTTTTCTGCACCCCAGGGCTTCCCCGTCAGGCCTGGCTAGCTGTGCTTCTCTCAAGGGAGAGTGCTTGGCTGCCGTTTTCCTGGGATGGACCTTTTTCACTCTTCTTTTCTGTTTTCCTTGTGCTCAGTGGCAGTCTGAGGACCAGGGCCCGGGCTCGGCCATCCTCCTGGCTGAGGCTGTGCACTCCTGGCAGCACTGCCCCGCCTGCCCGCCAGCTCTTCCTTTCCCTTCTCTCTCCAGTGCTTCCCTCATTCCCATGGGCACAGTCCCTTGATTGTTGGGCTATTGGCATGGCCTGCCAGGAGAGCAGCTGAGTCTTTAGGCTGTTAAAATAGGTCACTGCTGAGGTCAGCAGGTGTTTTTGTTTTGAGTTGCGTTAATGGACTTACACATTTTAGTGCTGCTCTTTTCTGTCCTGTGGTGCTCCGGCAATGCGACGTACACATAGCCAAGAATGTGACACTGTCATCAAATGTCCAATGTTGTTAGAATGGTCTCTGCGAGAGGGTTATTCTTCAAAAAAAGAATAAATGTTAACTAAAGCTGAAAGTACTGTGGGAAGCAAGATTATGTACATTACTTGAATGATCTTAAGTTGCCTCAGCCCTCTTCTTTTGGGGGAAGCCACTTTGCTTGGAAATTTGAGCTGCTTTTAAACTATGTGTTTCTTATATAATGTGCCATAGGAAAGCTGACTGGACCCTAGGTGTTGTGAGTCCCACTCTCCGGCAGTCCTTGGACAATGGTATTTACAATGCCTGTGTTGTGACTTGCCCCAGAAGAGGCAGCAGTACTCCTTTGGAGCTCTGAGAGGGTTTTCTTGGCTTGTAAAGCTGATGACCACGGCCTTGGATGGGGCTGTTCCTTGCACGGTCATCCATAAATAGGGCTGGGGTCTGGACTGTTCTTTAGTTGTCAGTCAGCATTGCCTGTGTGTTTGCAGTTACTTGTTGATATTATCTTTTTGGAACCCAGTTATGTTATGACATGTTATGCAGGCACTGTACTGCTGAGCTGCACTTCTCTTTAAAAATAAAGTTTATTTTGAGATTGGGTTTCCCTAAGTTGCCCAGGTTGGCCTAGAACTTGTGATCCTCGTCCATCAGTTTCCCAAGTAGCTGGGATTTCTCATGTGGCTACCACTGGCATTGCTTATCATTTCGTTATTTTATGTAGCTTTGAGTCTCAGTGCTTTTCACAGTTAGGACTGCAGGTATTCAGAATGAAGGAGTAATCCCATGTGACTCCAACCATGCTTTTGTCAGCTCAGGGGTGCTGCTTAGCGGTGAGGCCAGGGGCTGCTGGGGACACCCCATCTATGTTTAAGTCTTGTGGGTTATGAGATGTGCAAAGCTGGATGGGCTGTATGCTGGGCTTCCCTCCAAGACAGTGGCAGGCAGGCCAGCTCTGTTGCCTCCTGGAGTAGTTTTGTTGAATTCCCACTGGGATCTGGCAGTCGGCTACCTTTGTTTTACACACTCCCCCCTGTGGTCCTGGGATTGAGCCCAGGGGTGCCTACCACTGAGTTAAACTGACAGCTCCTTTTTTATTTTATTTTAGAGAGTGTCTTGCTAAGTTGCTGAGGCTGGCCTTGAACTTGGGATCCTCCTGAGCAGCTGGAATTACAGGCATGACTACTGTATCTGACAAAAAAAGTACATTTTTAAAGAAGACTTATTGCATGACCGAATTATGCTATCTCAGACCCTATCACAAGTGAATTGAATGTTTTTACAAATTTTCAGGGCTGAGGATGTAGCTCAGTGATAGAGCGCTTGCCTAGCATGTGCCACACCCCTGAGTTTTATCCTCAGCACTGTAAAAAAAAAAAAAAAAATTTTCAAGTATAGATTTTGAATTTTTATTTTATCCATTTTAGAATCAAAAATAAATTCCTAAACATTGGGATAAAAGTAAACTCCTAGAGATCCTTTAAATTCCCAAACATATTCTCTGTTTCTGAATTTTTTTTTTAAAGAGAGAGAGAGGTAGAGAGAGAGAGAATTTTAATATTTATTGTTTAGTTATCGGCGAGTACAACATCTTTGTTTGTATGTGGTGCTGAGGATCGAACCCGCACTGCACGCATGCCAGGCGAGCGTGCTACTGCTTGAGCCACATCCCCAGCCCCCTGTTTCTGAATTTTTATAATCTTCTTTTAAATTTTTTTATAGTTGTAGATGGACAGAATGCCTTTATTTTATTTTTATATGGTGCTGAGGATTGAAACCAGGACCTCGAACATGCTAGGCAAGCGCTCTGCCACTGATGATTATCATCATCATCATCATCATCATCATCATCATCATTATCGTGTGTGTGGTGCTGAGGGGTGCTTTGCCACTGAGCCACATCCCAGCCCTTTTTGTTTTTTGTTTTGAGACAGGGCCTTGCTAAGTTGCTGATGCTGTCCTTGAACTTGCAACCCTCCTGCCTCAGCCTTCCTGGTCACTGTGATGACAGGCGTAGCCACTGTGTCCAGCTGTAAAAGCATTTTCTCATGACTCTTGGAATCCGTGTTTGCCATGAATGTAGCCTGACAGGGGCCAGAGGGCACCTCAACCAGTCAGCCACACATGGGGTGGGAGACCAGGTGGCAGGACTTGGTTTTTAGGTGGAACCCTCCCACACCAAAAGACCAGCACCAAGCAGAGCTCTGCAGAGTTCAGGAGTCTGCCTTTTGGAGGCCGGGCTGGCGGAGGTGGGGTTGGCAGAGGTGGGCTGGTCAGGGCGGTGTCGTGGCCCCGTCTGCTCATAAAGGGAGCCTGCGTAGCACAGGCACAGGAAGAACCCTGTTCCTGCCGCTATAGTTACTTGAGAGGGCTCTGAGGATGTGTAGTTTGTGTTTTGAGGTTTGGGCCAGTTTTGGTTGTCATCATGCTCTAAATTGGGGTCTCACTATGTTGCTGAGCCTGGCCTTAAACTCACGGTCCTCCTGCCTCAGCCTCCCCAGTAGCTAGGATGTCAGGCATGTCCACCACGCCGGCTTACTTCCCTTCCCTAAGGTAGGTGCGAGGTGCCTGAGGCACCATGTTCCCACCCTGGCAGCCCACCAGGGGCTGCTGGTTGTCCCCGGATATCCGGGGCTCCAGACGAGTGCTGCCAGTCACACACCCTACACCGTCTATCTGCTCTTTGCTCCGGGTGGTGTCCTGTGGTCTTCTCTTGGGTGGACCCTCAGCCGAGGTGTTGGTTTGGTGGGTGCTTTGCCCTGGCAGCTTCCCTGCTAAGGCGACTTGGGCGTCTGTGGCACTTGCTTCCTCTGCTGTTCTGTTGACCGTGCCCCAGGGCAAAGCTTTGTCCCTGCTGGCTGAGACTGGAGAGGCTTCCTCCGGCTCTGTTGGCTTCTGGCCCCTTGGATGGTTGCTCCTGGAGCAAAGCTGATCCCAGCCTCCGGTGCCTGGGCTGAATGTTCTGGAAGGCCATCAGCTAGCTTTGATTTTGAATGTAGTGGTTGCTTCTCGGGCCACTGTCCTCTCTGTGGAGCTTCCTTATAGGTGCCCTGGCGGCGAGCCTGGCTTGTCACTTCCTTCCCACAGCAGAGGGTACATGCTTGGGGGGCCGCAGAGCTGCTGCTGCTGCTCCCCAGGAGGTTTCCCACCCCCCACAGGCAGGAGAGCAGCGAAGCCACACCTGATCCCCTCACAGCTCCTGAGACCTGAGATGTCCGAAACAGTTGAAAGGCATCACTTTGTTGAATGGCTCGGCTGGAAGCTCTTCACCTGCCTGCTCCTCAGCCACGCCTGCGCCCTCCCTCCGGCCCAGCCAGCAGTGTCAAGGAGCCTCGCTCCACAGTGCGTGACTGACGACCACCACAGGGCCACCCTGTGAGGCACCTTCCTTCAGCAGGATGGAAGAGAAACCCAGGGGCTGCTGCCAGACACAGCCTTGCCCCCTGAGAGGCTTGGGCACAGCCCCAGAACGTGGACGGGGCTCTGTCCCAAGGGGCCGAGCTGGCCCTGGTGTGGAGCTGGATTCTGACCGCAGCTTCAAGTCGGTTGCGGACAGGGCGGGTGGTAAAGCCTCTGCTACCTTGGAACAGCTCGAGATCTCTGTAGTGCGTCGGCATGCTTTCCAGGGGCATCTGGGTTTGTAGTGGGGGTTTCACCTGGAGACACACATAAGGCTTTCACAGTAAAAGAGAAGAAAATGCCAGTTCTGCTAAGCCTCGCAAGCACACGGTCCAACAGGCAGGCTGGGTGCGGCTCAAGCACTGAGGCCCGGGGTCCCGTCCCAGCACCAGAAACAAAACAAAAGTGTATGGTGTGTTTCAAACATAAAGCCCCTGAGAACAGGAGTACAGTCAAATAGCGTCTGGGCTGTAGAATGCGACCTCACTGCCAATAAAGCAGACCTGAGGCCCCCTGGGCAGCGACCGTGGGGCCTCACTCGTGCTGCCCTTGACCTTGGCCTCCAGCCTTGCACAGTGTACCCACTGCACCCCGAGCTGCTACCTTCCAAGCTCAGCATGCAGGAGCCAGGGTTTCCCTCAGCAGTGCTGAAAGATGGGTGTGCTTGATGCCCAGGTCTCCGGCTGCCTGTGCTGGCCTCTCACCACTGGGGGGCCCTAGGAGGAGGGTGCTAGAGAGGCCAGCAGCGGAAGAGCTGTGTCCCCAAGTTAAGAGCCTCCTCAAAGCAAGAATCACTGAGGTAGCTCAGCCCTGGGATTCTGGGAGAATCTCTTCCTTTGGGTTTTCATGTCTTGGACTCTGTCTTCTGTGTTTCCGTGTGCTCCCACTGAGATGTTCTTTGGAAGCCATATCCAGCAGAATCATCATTATTTGCCACTGGAAGGACATGTCCTACTTCCTGATGGTCCCTGGGCATCCCACCACTGGCCTTGACCTTGGGTTCCACACTGCATTTTGATGCCTGTTCTTCCCTCAGGGTCTTGGTCCCTTGAGAACAAGTAAGAACATGTCAGGAGAGAGGCCAGGTGGGGGACCTGGACGTCTCTGGTGAGCCCCGTCCATCCTCAGGACCTCGATGTCTCCAGGAATTCAGTGAACTGTGAGCAAAACTGTATCAATGGGTCTTGCCGCCTTTGTGTTCTAAATCTAATCTGGAATGCGTGCCTCCCTCTGCCCCAGCAAACATTCAGAGCAAAGAGCCACTCAGAGACCACAGCCCAGGGAGGATGGGAGAGCAGGCATCAATGGAGTTGGGCTAAAATACCAGTTTTCCTCCACCAGTGGTGGCCAGAGCATGTCCAGCTTCCTGCCTGAGCTCCCACCCCCAGGTTGGTCCCCAGCCCAGGCATTGCTGTCATGGAGACAGCGGGCAGCAGCACTGCAGTGCCAGGCGGCTGTCTCTGAGCAACAGGTGGTTCCAGCAGCAGCAGCAGCAGGAGACCTGCTCGTGGACCGAGGGCGGCTTTATAGGGCGAAGCTGCGACGTCTCCAGTTCCTGGGCCTCACAAGCTGTTTGCTCTCACACCAGCTGTGTGTGAGCGGGCGGCCACTGTTTAAAGGCTGGCCGGTTTCACAGTGAGTCTTGAGTCCCAGCAGTGCTTCACCCGGGCAGCTCTGGCCACCCTGGACACACAGTGCACCAGCCCCAAGCTGGCCCAGGGACACGGAGTCCTCCTTCAGTGGTCTCACTGTCCCAGCACCAGGTCAGCTATTCCTATTTCACAGGTGAGTAAACAGAAGCAAGAAAGAGTATGGCCAGCCCAAGGCCCTGCAGGCCACTCCAGATTCCACACCCTCTGCTGACCATGCTCCCCGCAGTGCCTCGGCCCCAAATCCTCTTGGCGCGCACCAGAACCACTGGAGTCGTCAACCCTCCCATCCCTTCCTGCACCTGTAGCGTTGCTCTATGGACTAGTGTTATTCGGGAAGCCAGCGCCTGAGGAGGGGTCACGTCACAGTCTGATCATTTGAAGAGGTGCGGAGACCCTGGCCCGGGAGCACTGCCTCCTCCCCCGGGTGAGGCCACAGCAGAAAAGCCCTCACCAGCCTGTCAGCTCCACGCCTTGACCTTGGGCTCCAGCCCCCAGAACTGTGAGCAATAAACCTCTGTGCTTTACAAGTCCCCAGGCTGTGTCTGTTGGAGGTGTGCACAGTGACTGAGACACTGTCCCTGGTGACTCAGTGGGCTCCTTGTGCCCCAGGCAGAGGGACTGGTTTGCCGATGGAAGCTGAGCAAACCCTTTGCCATCTCTAGAGAGCCACCAGCCCCAGAGGGGCCTCTCCCTGGTCGGCCAAGCCATGAGATGCAGAAAATAAAACATGACTACCACAGGGAGGTGGGCTTTCCCGTGGGCACCACCTTCATGGACACCCTCTCCCCAACACCCTCCTGCCCCTGCCTGGACCAGGCAGGGGTTAAGGGTCTCCCTGCTCTTCCTTGTGACTTCCTGACTGTGCCTGCACCTTCCTGAGTCCCCAGCTTTGGCTCTCTGGGTGTCTGACTCTGACTCAGTGTCACCACCCTCCCCTCAGACCTTGGAGATTGTCCCCAGGGCATCTCTCCAGAAGTGTTCCAGCAGCCACCCTCACTGGCTCTGAGTTCACAGCTGGTGCCCTTGGTCTTGGCCATGCACTCCTACGTCCAGCTCAGCCCAGGCCCAGTCCCGAGCTTCGACTTTATATGGTTGTCAAAAGAGTGAGAGCAGGTACACAGCCAATCACGTGGCCTGCAGCTCTGGGAATGTGTGCCCTGTGCAGGAGTGGCCAGCCCCACCTCAGGCCCTAAGCGCTCTTCCTCCATAAGCCACTTAGGCCACCAGTGCAGGGCTGGCCTTTTGGGCACCCGCACCCTAGTCCTTTGGGCTCCAGGGACCTACTGCCCTGATAGGCTTCCTGCCTCCATATAAGTCTCCTGTGGCTGCTGTAACAAATAGCCACACACTCAGGGGCTCAGAAATACAAAATGGAGCCAGGTGCAGTGATGCACACCTATAATCCCAGTGGCTCTGGAGGCTGAAACAGGAGAATTGTGAGTTCAAAGCCAGCCTCAGCCTCAGCAATGGTGAGGCACTAAGCAGCTCAGTGAGACCCTGTCTCTAAGTAATATACAAAATAGGGCTGGGGAGTGGCTCAGTGGTCGAGGGCCCTGAGTTCAATCCCCGGTACCCCCCATCCCCCCCCAAAAAAAGAAATCCAAATGGGTCTCTCTGAGGTAAAACCAGGGTGTGGGCAGGTCTTCCCACCTCTTCCCCTGCCGGAGCCGGGCATCCCTTGGGCTGTGGTCCCATCACTCTACCCCCAGTGGCAGGACCACAAGCCTGGGCACCACCTGGCCCTGTTTCCTCTCCCTCTCGCCCTCCTGTGCTGGGCTGCCCTGGCCCCCTCTGGGGCTCTTTGCTTCTGCTTCTGCCCCTGCCCTGTCCCAGTCCCTTGTCGCCCTGCTCCGCATGGAGCTCCCCAGGTGGCTCCGAGTGGAGGCCGCAGGCTGCGGCTGCCCCTGAGGCGACCCGTTTCCTCTGGCCTCTCCGGCTCTGCGCTTCTCCTGCAGCAGGCCAGCTGCCCACCTCCAGCCTTGGTGCAGTTCTGCCTGCTCAGCGGCACCTTTGCATCTGGCTGGGCAGCGGCCAGCACATGTCCCTGGACTGGTCGTGCCCACCACTGCTGCCAGGGCTTCTCTCCCTTCCCCTCAGATCTCACTCGGACTGCTCTCAAGCACCACCAGCAAAAGCAGAGTCACCTTACAGTTCCCGAGGGACTCGGGCTCCTTCAAGGCCTGGATGGTGTCTCCTCTAGCTGGCCCCAGGTGGCTCCCTCCACTCTGTTCTGTTCTTCACATGCAAACAGTTGTTGATGCGAAGCTGAGGGTTAAAACAGCAGCCAGCAGACCAGCCTGTAGGAGGCGCTGTGCCCAGCGAGGTCAGGGGCTTCTTCCTGTCCCACTGAATCTCGTGCTTGTTTTGTGTTTCCTTGCTTTCTCTCATCTTCCCTGAGTGCCTTGCATGGTGTGTCACCTTCCTTCCTGTCACTAACAAATACCTGATGACCAGCTTAAAGAGGACGGGGGTTTTGCTCAGTTTGGGAGGTGGCAGGACGTGGTGGGCAGGCCTGCTGCTCTGGGCCTGTGGTGAGGGGCACAGCTTGCAGGGAGCCCGTGGTGCCCCAAACCATTCTCTTAGTGGCCAGGGAACACAGAGAGCATCTCATAGTCCCCTGCAGGGCCACACCTCCAGGGTCCGAGGCCTCCCACCAAACCCAGCTCTCAGGCTCCTCCATCTCCCAGGTGCACCTCCTTGGGCCAGGCCTGCAACACATGGCCTCTGGGGACAGTCCAGGCCTAGCTGCAGCATCAGATCCTTATGCTGATAGAAATCCCCCAGTTCTGCATCCTCATTGGGTGAACGGGGCCTTGGCCTTAGATGGACAAGGGCTAAGCCCTGATGTCCAGACACCTGCTTCCCCGACTCATTTCAAATTCGGTTTGTTTTTTTTAATGCCGAGGATTGAACTCAGGGGTACTTCCCTTGAGCCACATCCCTAACCCTACTTTATATGTTATTTGGAGACAGGGCCTCACTGAGTTGTTTAGTGCCTCATGTTTGCTGAGGCTGGCTTTGAGGCTGACAATCCTCCTGCCTCAGCTTCCTGAGCTGTTGGGGTTACAGCGTGGCCACCACACCCGCCTACTTTAATGTTTTAAAACTTCCAAAACAATAATTAGTTAGAACTGAAGACTTTATACAAAGTGCCTTTTTAAAAAATTATGAATGTAGGTGACTGTCCTTTTCACGAGTATTTTCCCACATTTTTTATTCGTGTGTTCTCATGGCTCATGACGGTGGATTTGTTGTCACACTCTCCACGCATACCAGGCGACAGGAGTGTCCCCCAGAGCTTCCTCTTCCCCCAAAAGATACTTTCAAAAATAGCTTTCTTGGGGCTGGGGATGTGGCTCAAGCGGTAGCGCACTCGCCTGGCATGCGTGCGACCCGGGTTCGATCCTCAGCACCACATACAAACAAAGATGTTGTGTCCGCCGAGAACTAAAAAATAAATATCAAAAATTCTCTCTCTCTCTCTCTCTCTCCTCTCTCACTCTCTCTTTAAAAAAAAAAAATAGCTTTCTTGAGACATAACTCACTGCACAGTCCACCCTTTTAAAGTGCAGGAACAGTGGCTTTCTGACATTCATGGGGTTATCACCCATCACCTCTAACTCCAGAACATTCTGTCATCTTAAAGGAAAACCCACGCCATGAGCAGTGTCCTGTCCCTCCCCAGCCCTGCAGACACAGCCTCACCCACGGCCTGGTTCACCCCGCACAGTGGGTTCCTCCTCTTTGTGCCATCACGGCTCCTTCTCCTCCTCCTCCTCCTCCTTCTCTGCTGGCAAAATGTGTTTACTATAAAATTTGTTGCCTAGCCTGGGCAGGTGCTGCTGGATCTGCCCTAGTGACAGGGCCTTTCTACTCAGGCTCAAGCCAAGGTGACCCCAGGCAAATCCATTGGGCCAGTGCCTTTGGCAAGGAATGGGGCAGGCCAGAGCTCGCAGCCCTCAGATTCCTCAGGGGACCCAGGAAAAAGCCAAGGAACTGCAAGAAGGGAGCGAAGGTCAGCGTGACTCTGCTGTGGGAAGCTGAGGAGGTGGAGGCCTCGGGGCCTGTTCCTCCCCAGGCCTAGGCCCTCAGCCTGTCCCACCCACTCTCCCGTGTCCTGCCCTCCCCTTCCAAGTGTCTCCCGGGCAGCTCTGCACACCAGGCCAGGCCAGCCTCCCTGCCTCGGCCCTGCAGCCCAGGAGCTCCCAGTCATGACAGCCACATGTGTCCCCAGACATGGCCCAGGGTCCCGAGGGCAGGATTTCTCTGTGACACTACTGCTCTGAGGTCCTGGGCCTGGCAGCCACAGGGCTGAACCCTGATTTCCTACCCAGCTGAAGCAAGGCTTGGAGGACTGGCTGCTGCTGCCCCGGCCAGGCCTCCCTGCGACTCTCAGATCTCACGGCCTGCGTCCAGGCGTCCTCATGCCCTCCCGAGGCTGGCAGACTGCAGCAGAAGTGACTCTGCCCTTCCTGAGCCTGGGCCTCCACGGGCCTGGCCTGCATCCCCCTTGGAGTACCCAGCATGTGAATGACCTAACCTGGCCCCTGGAGGAGGAGAGCCCCCATGGCCCATCTGGCAGCTGCAGCCTGAGACGCGGGAGGGAGCCCCGCCCAGGCTGCCTGCAGAGGCTGGAGCAGCAGGGACCACAGGCCTCGCGCTGGCCACCGTGGCCAGCTTGAGCTGCAGCAGCAGGCCACCCGCTGTCGTGAAAGCACACCCTTTGACTCTTTCCAACCATTCCAAAATGGAAAAGCTCTTCCCTGGGGCCCTGAGGAAACAGGCTGCAGTTTCAGTAAAGAAACAATCGCCACAAACCAGCAGCCACAGGACGAGCCTGTGGCCCTTCCACTCTCCTCTCCCTTCCTGCCTGGGCCCCCTGGGCAGAGCTCTCAGGGAGAGGCAGCGACTGGGTGGCCCGGGACTGGGTGGCCCGCGGGGCGGCTTCCCTGTGCATGACAATTACTCAACATGAGGTGGGCCAAGAGTTCCCTTTTTGGGTCTCCATCACTGCCACCAGAGCTCCTGACACTTGGCCTGTGGGGGCGTCTCAGCCCTGGCTGCCTGGGGGCGGGCTCTGGCTGACCTGTGAGTCCTGTTGGCTCTCTCCCACTCCCTCCAGCTTGGCCCTGGGGTGTCTCCCCAGGGTCCTGCAGCCCTGGCCTTTCACTTCTCACTCCAGCAGCCTGGTCATGGCAGTCTTAGTCAGCTGGGGCCTCTGTGACAGAATCCTGCAGAGTGGGTGGCTTCAGCAGCAGACCTTTATTTCCTGCAGTCCTGGAGGCTGCAGGCCAAGATCAAAGCATGGGCAGGGCGGGTTTGTCCCACGGCCTCTTCTTGGCTTGCAGATGGTGGCCGCTTGCTCTCCGTCACTGTAACGACATACCTGACGTAATTAACTTAAAGAGTGCAGGTTTCTTTCCTCTGTAGTTGGAGAGGTTTCGGTCATGATGGGAGCCTGTGGCTTTTAGGTGTGTGGCAAGGGGCACATCATGGAGGGAACTTACGACAGCAGACCCGCTTACCTCAT